AAGGAACTGATAAGGGCCGTGGGGAGGAGGGCAGCTACTCCAAGTGCCCGCACACCAAGGACGCCACCCGTGTGCTCTATGCCGCCGTGCCAGTGAGTGGGCACTGTCCCTGGGAGGTCTCAGGCCCTGCTTTTCCCCAGGGCAAAGGAGAAGCCTGAACACATGTTCCCTGGTTGGCAGGTGGAACAGTCCCAGGAGCAGCGTCTGTCCTTGGTGCTGGGCCGTGTCTGCCACAACTCAACGGGATGGGCATCCACCACGGCTCATGGGCTCACGCTGACTGCTCATGCATCGCCGTGCTAGTCACTCCCCGCTTCTGCTCCACAGGTTCCCATCAATGTCTCCAATGCCCCGAGTCTGGCTCGCCAGCTGCACGTGGACATGGCCGAAACTGCCAACTTCTCCGACGTGATGGATAGCATCTACGTGGCCCAGACAAGTGAGAAATTCATTGGCTAGGCTGACCGCACAAAGCAGGTGATTCTCCCTCCTGTGCCCCCTGCTAAGGTGCGGGCGGTCCTGAGGGGTGAGCATGAGGGGAAGGGGGCCCATCCCACACTCAGAAGATCATGAGCTACAGCCTCAGCAGCAGCGCCCAACACATGGCTGTAGTAGGGCCCTCCTGTCGCTCTTGTGGGGCTGGGAACTGGGCAGAACAGGGGTGCGGGAGGGACCGGGGAGGGGGAGAGCCCAGGGCAGGAACAGTGCAGGGCTGTAGGTCAGGACTGAGGTCTCTTTCGAGGGGAGAGCGGTCCTGGCCACAGGTCACAAGGAGCTGAGGGTTGGGACTGGGGGGCATTGATGGAAGTGGGGTCTTTGTGCAGGACGAGTCCAGGACTGGGGTAGCGCTGGTCTCTGCTGGGTACAAGTGGGGGCTGAGAGTCAGGAGTGAGGGGCACCAGGGAAAAATGGGGGGAGCTCCAGGTCAGGAGTGAGGGGCACCACTGGGTACGAGGGCTGAAGCATAGGGTAGCACTTAGTGGAGGTTTTCCCCCACTCCGCTTCTCCGCCTTTATCCAGCTTGAAGGACAGGAGGGCAACACCGAACTTTTCCAGGGGCGGGATTCAAAGAACTATTTTAATACTCTATATGGGTGCACAACATACCTATTATGTATGTAAAACTAAAGACATTAATCTGTGCAGAGAAGCAAACATAATGATAGGTAAAGAGTTACATTGATGTCCCCTTTGCTAGAAAGAGTAGCAGGGTCACTGTGGTTATTATGTATTCCACGCAGACGCACACCGTCCCCTTAGCGTATATACCCCAGACCCGGTACAGTTTCAAGTTCTTCAAAGTAAATAGGCAATTAATAAAACCGTCGCGTCCAACCCGTTCCCAAAACGTGACTTACTTGAGGCCGCGGATCCGGTGGTGTGCGCTAGAACTCACGTGACGTCTCGCAGTTCTTACCCAACAACAACGGGTTTTCTGGTCATTTTCTGTTTGAACAAGAGAAGATCAGTGCGCATCTTGTTAACAACGGTTCGCCACCCCCGCTCTTCGCGCCCCGCCGGCGCAACGGGCCTGCGGGCATCGGAGTCGGACCAATCGGCACGCAGACAGTGAAACTCTCTCACCAATCCCAAGACCCAGCTAGACGGCAGAGAAGGCGGGCGAGCACCTGGGCCCGCCTCCTCCGGCAGAAGCCAATCAGAGCGAAGAAGGGCGGAGCGGCCCTGACCCCGCCCATGCGGCCACTCCACCCAATCCAAGGGGGACAAGGGGATCGCTGGGACTAGGGGGTCAGTAACC